TATATCTGCTTGCCCGTACAGGATGCATAGGCAAGCAGATATATTGACAGGAAGAATGAATAAAACTACCACAGCACTCCACAGCGCTCCACAGTGTCATCGTAGTTCATTGAGGACTACAAGCTGACAGTCGCTAAGGCTGTCGGAACTTGTATGCTTTCATTCACAGAGGATAGGCAAGGGGGGAGAAGATCCCCCACTAGCTGTTAAAGAAGGATCAGGTTAGAGGGGGGTAGCGGGGGCTGGTCTGATCGCAATTGTTACATGTTACACCCTGAATATGGGGTGTAACATGTAACATGTTACAAATGGTGAACTTATCCTTTAATATGCACACTGACTCAGAGTCTTCCAGTTTAGCTAAAGATTTCTTGGTTTTACTGGATTGCTTTGACCTAACTCAATTTGTTTGCACCCCCCACGAATATCAAAGGACACACCCTGGACCTTATCATTGCTAATGGCTCTTTTGCCTCTAACTGCCCTTCCCTTGACTTAGGACTGTCCACCTAGCTATTCTTTTCAATCTGAAATTAGCAGTTTCTAACATCTCCCTGTCTTGATTTGTAAATTATTGCAACTGGGCTTCTATTTATCAGCCCAAATTAATTTGCAAATTCTGTTACTTCCTTCTTACCCTGCATCTCCTCCTCTGACACCCTTGTTGACAAAATAGAGTTCTCGCCTATGTTTAATGAAGACTGTCTTGCAGAGACTAGAGCACAGTTTTGCGCTGTTCTGGCATGTCTGTTCATAATCAGATTTGGAAGGACCATTTGTTTTGTCTATAAGGGTCAAATTGAGACTGCTAGATCAAACTAATTCTTCCATGCCATTGAAAAAAAATCTTATAAGCCCTAGACAGCTCTTTCTGCACCATTGACAGATTAATAACACCTTGCTGTCCCTCCACATTGCCAGCTTCAACACAGCTCTGAAACACATTCTTAGATTTTTTTTCTCCTCAAAAATTGACAAAATAAGGCATCACATTCTTACTAAACCACGTTTCTTCCACATCACTTCCCTGTTTTACTGGTTCTTCTGTCTCCCAATTCTCTCTACTTAACTCTGCATCTCTGATTAAATTGGTCTCTAGTATGAAATCTTCCACCTGCATACTTGATCTTATTCCCACCCATTTTTTAAATCCTGTATGTAGTTTTCTGTGCCCCATTATTCTCAATATCATAAATGACTCCCTTAGCACCAATTTTGTACTAACAATCCTTAAAACTGCTGCCATGACCCCGGTACCTAAAAAAACAAACAAAAAAACCCAACATGGCTCTGGATAACTTAAACAACTTTTGCTGCCCAATATCAAACTTAACCTTCCTTGCCAAGATCCTTGAGCGGGCTTTGATATCTCAGTTACATAATCACCTGACTTTATATAACCTGTTTGAACCCCTCCAGATTGCACAGCACAGAAACCACCTTGGTCAGAGTCACTAATTACCTTCTGGGCTCACTAACCATTCTTATTGTACTGGGTCCTAGTTCTGACTTTCATACTGTAGACCACAATCAATATTTTACTCTCTCATCTTGAAACCATATTTGGAGTCTCAGGATTGGCTCTGAAATGGAAAAAGTCATATCTTCCTGATTGCTGTCACTTTGTTTCTCTTGGCGGATTCCAGTCTGATTTCGGTCCAGTCAAGTACAGTGTTCATCAGGGCTAAATCTTGGGTCTTTTGAGCATTTACATGTTTCCACTTGGCCAACCGCTTAAATCACATGGGCTCAATTATCAATTATTTGCTGATGACACTCAGGTCTACATCCACACTAAACCTGATTCTACTTTGGCTGCTTCTCCCATATCTAACTCTATTTGTGATATAAAAATTTGGATGGAACACAATTTCCTCCAGGTAAATTGTGACAAGACTGAAATGATGCTTATTAGCACCCTCCATCAAGGCCAGTCCTGGTAGCCTATCTATGGATGGCACTGTACTTGAGTTCCAGTCTAAATTGAAAAATCTAGGGGTGATATTTGATGCTATTTTAACCTTTGATCCACATCTACAAAATGTTGTCAGAACATCTTTTTTCAACTTGAGAAACATTGCTCAGCTGCGTCCTATACTATCTTACACTGTAGCTGAAAGCTGATCCATACTATTGCAATGCTCTACTCACTGGTGTACCTAAATCCATAATTAATCAACTTCAATACGTACAAAATTCTGCAGCAAGAATCCTGACTAGGTCTGGTACAAGTAACCAGGTAACCACTACCCTGGAGTCCTTGCACTGACTACCTGTCAGGTTTCACATAGACTTTAAGATACTCTTGCTCACCTATAAGGCTCTTCATGACTTGGCACCCCATTATCTCTCTGAGCTTTTATCAACTTACTCTCCCCCTCAAAACCTCTGCTCTTCACATTCTGGATCTTCTGTGCGCCCCCCCCCCCCTACTCACCTACATTCGATGGGAGTCTTCTCCTTCTATACCCCAAAACTCTGATGTTCTTTGGAAGTGAATTTCAGAGAATCATCTTCTCTAAACTCATTCAAATCAAACCTAAAAACTTCTTTCTTTAAACAAGCTTTAATGTAATTGTCCCTTTTTTTCCTATCCTGTGTATTTCTTGTGTGTTCTTTGAAAAGCGCTTTCAGAAGCTACCTTTAAAGGCGCTATATAAAATAAAGTTTATTATTATTGTAAATCTGTTTCTGAAACCAAAATGCAACCCTCAACATTTTTTAATTCTGGCAATGGGCTGAATAACCACTTACAATGATTTCTATAATTGCAATGCTTGCAATATTATTAAACTATTGTACTTTTGTATGAATTGCCATTGTGTGTGTTTTTTTAATTGTACAAACATAGAATGGAAAATGGAAACTGTACTATGATGAGACCCATTTTGCCTGTTACTGTAAATGGTATGTGAAAATAAAATAAAGAAACCAAAAAAGTAACTAAGAGACACACAAAAAGGCATCATATTTATTGATTCAAATGGTCTGCTTTGTCAAACAGAAGGATGTAAAGCAACTATATTTCTAGTGATGATTACAAAAGCAAAATAGTGTATTATCTTTGTTATTTTTGTAGATATGTGAAACCAGGCTAGTCTAAAACAGGAATCTTCTTCATGCAATTAGTACAGTAGAACAGGTATACAAAAGTTACCTTAAAGTGGAACTGTGTCACAGTTTTTAACTGTAAAGTGACCTTGTTATAGTCAAAGCTAAGATAACCCTAGTCTATAAAAGAAGAGATTGTATACTTACCTTTCCATTGTGTTAAAACTGCACTGCATTGATGTTCTTCATTCAGTTCAGGTATCAGATTCTTCCAGGTGTGCCAAATACCTGCTCCCTCCAACACACACTGTGATCTCTCCTGCTAGCTCATACACCCTGTGAAGATGTAGCATAGCTATTCATCCTTCTAGGGAGTTAAATGATATGATGGGATAATCTATTTTATTAATCTATCCATTCTTCTTAATAGTATTTGCTTCAGGGGACTGTCAAAGTATCTCATGGGCATAATGGTATAATCAATTTATTCCCAATTTCCAGCTGGGAAAATTGTTGTGCTGTGTATTATATAGTACTACGTAATTATATAGTATAGTAATTATGCATTCTGAGATAATTTAAGTGATATTGTAAGGGATTATTTATTTAGCATTTTACTGTAATTCATAAATAAATGTGTTTGTACCATTTGATCATATTTTCACATTCGTAAACAGCACATTGTAATTATATTCAGTCTATGTGGGGTTTCCTTATTCTCGTTATAGACATCACTCACACATTTTGGGGCAGATTTTTTCCTGAAATGGAAAAAAACCCCCAGTAAGTGCCAAAAATATTGCTTTCTGCTGTCAGGATTCATTAAGCTTTTTCCTGTATCACAGATGGGCTGTGTATTGCTGGCAGCTGAAGTCAGGTCTCTGTGTTTCATGGTACGGGATTGTGGCTGGATCAGCGTTTCTCAGACAGTCAGTCCTGAGGACACACAGTATACTATGGCTTTTAGAGGAAAAAGATCAAGTATCTAAGTATAACAGAAGCTTAGTTCTGTAGGGGCTTAGCGTGAAACGAAACCATTATACCCCAGAAGGTAAAACAACCACAGACATTTCTACTGTGTACTTGCATTTTGTTGTAAATTGTAATCTTTTTTTGTTCTAGATGTACCCATGTCTATACGTATTTCTGACTGTAGTTCTATGTGAGAAGGTGCGTGGCTTAAAAATGGACTATAAAGCTGATATCTGATGCAAGGCTTTTTAAATTAATCTGTTGCGGACTGTTGTGTTTTGGATATTACAGTCGGATACATACATGTCCCCCAACTGTCCCAGATCCCTTGGGACCATCCCAAGATTTGAATAAAATCCCATGGTCCCAGAGGCCCATGACACTGAAGAACAGTCCACTGTCTGAGCATTTTGAAGCATCATCTGTCAGGGATTCGATAAGTAAAACTTTTTTTGTCCCCTAGACATAAACAAGCTGTGTTACCTATGCAGTACGAACAAAGCTCCACTGCAAGGGAGGATTTTTGGGTTTTGTAGAGTTGGCCTTTAAAAATACATCTAAACCCAAACTGGATGGCATACAATTGCTCAGAAACTGTGTATCATAAACAATTACTATTTGTTTTACATAGTATACAGTTGTCCCCTTTTTTCATCCTTATTCCCATCTCAGTACTACAAATATTCTCCATTCTTATTTAAACACTTTGTCTAGATGCACTTACTCCAGTGTCAACTGCACATCATTATTCTGTACTGGCTTTATGATAATGACAATAGTGGTCCATATTTGCACAATGTGTGAATGTTGTCACCATATAACAGAAAGTGCCAGAACAAGGACCTTCTTGTCAAGACCATCAGGTATTATTTAAAACTATGGATTTAAAGTGGTTGTAAAGTTTTTTTTTTTTTTAATTAAAATAACAAACATGTTAGACTTACCTGCTCTGTGCAATAGTTTTGCACAGAGCAGCTCTGATCCTCCTCTTCTTGAGTCCTCAGCTGGAGCTCCTGGCTTCTCACCCCCTGCCGAGTGCCCCCACAGCAAGCTGCTTGCTCTGAGGGCACTCATTCATGCTTGTTCCCAAGCCATCTCTGTGTGTCTCTAAGACACACAGAGCACAACTCGGCCCTGCCACCCACTCTCTCCTCACTGGCTGTAATTGACAGCAGCAGGAGCCAATGGCTTCTGCACTTTGTCTGAGCTGATGGGGATGGAGAGAGTCGAGAGAGCCTTTGCTCTTGTGCACATTACTGGATTGAGATCAGGCTCAGGTAAGTATTGGGAGGGGGCTGGGGAGGGAGCTGCATACTGAAGGTTTTTTTACCTTCATGTATAGAATGCATGAAGGTAAAAAACCTTCAGCCTTTACAACCAATTTAAAGAAATTGGCATTGGGTTTATGTGTACTTTAATTATGCTTTGTGCACCCTTGGCCTGTTAGATGACATCTGTCATCTATTCATTGAGGTGTCCTTCTTTCTCAAATTCCAAAGTTGTGAGGTATGCACATATGAGGGGTCGTGTGTGTTGGTGCTAATGTGTAAATATGACCAAATGCATTTGTAGCACTACCCCCTTAGGCGTTGCTAAATATTTGGGTCTCCCTATAGTCCTGCACAGCCAAGCAACACACATTTTCTCAGACTTGCATTCCAGAGACAGTAAACAGTCCGTGAGCTTGGTTTTAAGGGGTATTGAACTTGGATGGGGTAAGGAGTGTATGGGATGTCCAAGGGAACTTCAAACTAAGGACAACTTCCTGGCAACTATATAAAAGTCTTTACACAACAAACCTCTGGGAGAGCTCTCCAGCCTCTGCTGGTGTACCACCCAAGACCCCAGATAAATCCTCTTCTTTACCCAGGAGTCTGGAGCAATCCCTGGGCAAGGAGATCCAGGGCATTCCACTCTCAGATGAACAGTCCAGGGTAAGTAGCTAATCAGGTTTACCACCAGAGTGCTCTTTACCCCTTAGCTGGCCCAGGGGGTGTAGGATTACTACACTCAGTTTCTTTCCTGTAAGCTGGTGTTGGTACAGTAGGTGGCTGCCTTCAGGCCTTCTGCTGGGCTGGCTCCTTTCCTGGCTCCACAGGTAGTCCTCCCTCGGGGACCAATGAGGCCAAGTGATACTCCCTTCTAGGTCCTGTCCTGTAGGTAGGCCCGTTCCCACTGGGCCCCCCCCGGAGGCTCCTGCATCTCAGGCTTCTCTCACATCTTCCACTCAAACTCTCCTGCTACTGAGCAGGATGTCCTGACCCCATGCCAAGCCTCCTGCCTGGGGATTGGTCAAGATCCCCTAATTATGCAGATCAGCCCCTCCTCACCCCCACCCACTACTTCTAGAATCTTCTCCAAAATTCTACAGCGGGGGGAGGTATCAAGGAACTGATCTACAGAGCCTCTCAACCCTGACCTAAATTTGACCCTGCTGACTATTCCCAGGCTGCTGCTCAGCCTAACTAAAAGTTAGCCACTAGCTCCCCCTGGCTACCTTAAGAGGCACTACACATTCAAAAACATTTGTTTTAGATCACAAAATTAGTCTTTTATATTTGGATGTAGCATGTATGTTCTTATAGCATTACAAACCAAAAGACACTGGAAGAGGTAACCTTTAATATATAATATCTCACATTTAAGATAATTTTTATTCCCCCTTGTAAAGGTAATTAGTCAGAAAAAAATATCTGCGTCATATAGTAAGTAAGTACGTACTCTTCTTGCTCACCTAGAGTATAATAGAAATAGCACAAGAAAATTGCTTTCATTTATGTTGAATGAACACAGTCTTGTGTGCAATTTGTCACCTTGGGTTTAAAGTAATTTAAGAGTGAAAAAAATGGAGCTCATTGTCTAATATACTTATTCTTGTATTTCAGTCATGATACATACAATGAGTAGGACCAGACAGCTAAAATCCACCCTAAAGAAGCAATCATGCTAATTGAAAAATTAAAAGATTAAGGGAAGCCATCTTTGAAGCTTAAAGATCACTAAAAAGCAATGTAACTAGCCACACAAAATGAATGCCATTTGTCAAGGTTAAATGCTTAGTGTTTAACCACTTAAGCTCTGGAAGGTTTTACCACTTGACCAGGCCAAATTTAGGCCAAAATGTATTTTGCTACATGTCTTTGGTAAAAAAAAAATCCCAATAAGTGTATATTCATTGGTTTGCGTGAAAGTTATAGTATCTACAAATGATGGTATATATTCTGGATTTTTTTTTAATTCTAGTAATGGAGGCGATCAGTGACTTATAGTGTAACTATTATAGTGCGGAGGGCAATCTGACACTGACTCACGCTGGGTGGGAACTGACTAAATGACACTGACATCTCCAGTGACAATAATACAATGATCAGTGCTAATATGCACAGTCTCTGTACTAATGACACTGGCTAGGAAGAGGTTAAAATTTAGGAGCAATCAAAAGGTTAATTGTGGGCCTACCCATGTTTACTGTGTGTAAAAGTGTGCCGTTTTACTAAGCAATGTGCCAGGACATCGCTGCTGTATGTAGAGAGCCCTGTGTTGTTTACCAGCACAGGGTTCTCTTCTGTCATTTGCTCAGGTGATCAGTGGGTACCAGCCATAAAATTGGCCAGGTCCTCCTGATTTTCTTGTGCTATAGCGAATGATATCACTAGAGATGAGCGAATCGAACATGACGAAGTGGAATTCGTTCCGAAGATTTGGAAAAATTCGATTCGCAACGAATCCGAAGATTAGCAAACTTCGGATGCACGAATCGAATTTTCCCAAAAATGGCGGCGACATGTGTGGCGACGGAGAAAATGGACAGAGAAGATGGGGCGGGGATCTCTGGGAAGGCGCGCAGACAAGGCACGCTGACCCATAATGCATTCATGACATGTGATCGCATTAGCCAATCAGCAGCCAGCCAGCACTGTGTAATGGTGGAGCTATAAATCGCGGCCATCTTAGAATTCTCCATTAGCCTCCGGTCATTCAAGAGAGACAGACCTGTGTGTATTAAGGGACAGAGTTAGGGCCACAGAGACTTTAGGGCCACAGAATCGTTACTCAGGGACACAGAATCGTTACTCAGGGACACAGAATCGTTACTCAGGGCCACAGCTATCAAAGAATCGAAAATTTAAAGTGACATACACCCTTTTTTTTTTTGGTGGCTGTCGTGCACAGTTGGTGCTGCAGTTTGCCGATTGTGCAAAATAAACTGACTTTCTGCTTCACAACCACTATTGTACGTTCAAAGAGTTAAATCCATTTACACGCCGGCTGGCGGTAATTTTTTTTTGGGTGATTAGTGCATTCCAGTGACACAAACGTACAGTTTCCAGTCAACGGCAAGCTGCAATTGACCGATTGTGCTAAATAAACGGACTTTCTGCTTCACAACCACTATTGTACGTTCAAAGAGTTAAATCCATTTACACGCCGGCTGGCGGTAATATTTTTTTGGGTGATTAGTGCATTCCAGTGACAGAAACGTACAGTTTCCAGCCAACGGCAAGCTGCAATTGACCGATTGTGTACAATAAACTGACTTTCTGCTTCACAACCACTATTGTACGTTCAAAGAGTTAAATCCATTTACACGCTGGCTGGCGGTAATATTTTTGGCCCCCTGTACCGGCTCCTCATGAACGTGGTTCAGCAGGGTTTGCATCACTTAACGGCAAATCGTTGACAAACGCTGGGACGTTCAGTGTTGTGCGCATTAAGCCAGACACCAAAGGGCAGCACAGACTTGTTATTACTCGCTCAAGCATGGCTGAACAAAACCAGTCTCTACCACAAATTGGACCCAGACCTGCCCAGGGTCTCGTAAGTAGATTGCACGGAGGAGTAGAGTTCGTTATTGGAATTAACTGTGAGGGACTTTTAAACCTAGGCCTGTGTATGGCCTTCAATTGAAGCTGCTTCTGCTTCAATTGAACTCTTGATAGTCGTCTCCCCACGCTGCTGCTGGGGGGACTTTTTAACATAGGCCTCTGTATGGCCTTCAATTTTAGCTGCTTACGCTCTGCCACTCTGCCATGGGCCCCTGTACCGCCTCCTCATGCTGCTGCCAGGCCCGTAATCTGCCATGGGCCCCCGTACCGACTCCTCATGCTGCTGCCAGGCCCGTAATCTGTCATGGGCCCCTGTACCGCCTCCTCACCCCAGAGTGTGTCATGGGTCCCTGTACGGCCTCCCATTGCTGCTGTCTCCATCGCCACACTCTGCCATGTGCCACTTTCAGGTCTCCTCACACTGCTGGTGGGTTCCATTTTGTCATAGGGTGCTGTATGGCCTCCCATTGCTGCTGCCTCCACCGCCACACTGTGGCTCCACACTCTGGTTTTGGCCCCGTGACTGCCCAAATGAGTGAAGTGTGAGGTGATTCTAAGATCGACGGCACTCATCTGCATGTCATACTGACTGACAGTATTATTTCTCTTCCCCAGCAGACTCCAAGGGCATTTAAATTAAAGGTACAGTGTTCTGCACTAATATAAAGGCTCTCTGAAGCCTAGAAACACCCTTTTTATAAGTTAAATTCGCAGCGAATATATTCGGCTCGAAGCGAATTTATTCGGCGAATCAGCCAAACCGAATTTTTGAATAATTCTCTCATCTCTAGATATCACTGCCGGGGTGGTGGGCATGCGTGTGCTCCCTACCCAGAAGAGCCTGATCACATACATGTACGTGATCCAGCACAGCGTGTTTGCTCTGCTGCAGAATATCTGCAGTAGGCGATCGTGGATGTACTTAATGATTAAATGTAACTTAATGTAACAAAAACTTTTAATGTTATCATAAAAAACTGTCTGTTGTTGGCAATTTATTGACTTTGATAGTAGAAGCTTAAGTATATCTGGTTAGTTTGATCAACAAAAATAAATTAACTTTTCAGATATAAATAGAGGTTTTTTTTTACAAGATTTTAAGCCCTGTTCTGGTATTTTTTTTTATTTTTATGTTTTGGAGAGTATGAAGAAGATATAATATTTATTTTTGTCTTTTATCTCTGTTTGTGATCCCAGTAGAGAGAGTTTCCCTCACTTCCTGTCCTTGGGACGTCCTCATGAAATGAACATGTTTGGCTGGAGTTTTTAATTTATTGACATATCATTACATTTGAACACACAATTCCCATCCACCTTTGAATTCCAATTGTACTTTTCAGTAGACTGGAAGCAGATGGAAAGCTTAACATTAACTACAGTATTCTTAAAAACATTCCCTCCTCCCTGCTTCTACCTATCCTGCATAGATTCCAAGGGAGGGGGAGTGAACATTTTTAAGAATAGTTGGTGGTAGGCTTTGCTACCAGTTTAAAGCCAGCCACAGATGATGCAATTGTTGATGGGGGAATCCCTCCCATGGAACTATTGTGTCCCTGCCATGGAAGGGATCCATCCCTGCCAGGAGAACACATAGATTATTGCTAGTGGCTATACCAGCTGCAACAGTCATACGACAAATCCAACAGGCTGATTTACCCAAGTCATACAACAATCAATTTGAGTACAATTAGCGTGCCCATAGTTGGTTTGAATCTCGGTCGGTCCTGCTGAACCGGCTGAGTTTCGAACCATCGATGGCTAGCCTAACACTGATATTCATAAAATAGGTTGATTTAATAGGAATATTCTAAAAGTGTGTTGATTGGAGATTAGCAGAGTGAGTTGGCCAAATTGATTTTGCAATGAATTTACTAGTTTTGTTGATATTTTACCAATTTTGTCAAAGTGCAATCTCTCAGTTTCACCTATTAAACTTCTTACTTCCAAATTTGTTTTGAAAAAAAATCTACTTTGTAATCTACTTTTAGGGTACTTTATTTAGTTTTCATTATATTTGTGTTTTTTTGTCATCCAGAAAAAGCCTCAAAACTAGTTTCACTTTGTTACTGGGACCAGTCTTCCCTGGGCTAAGACCTACCAACTGTCATTCCGCTGTCCAGTCTGGTCACCCTTATTGACCAGGGGAGTACTCCAGTTGTACAGGAGTAGTTCTTAAGTAAAAAACACAGACAAATTAGCATTTTGTTTGGCTGAAAAAGTTTATAACAAGATTCTTGAAGTATCTGCTCTTGTCTAATTACCTAAAGCCATAGATGTGTAGCTTAGTGTACCATCAAGGCATTCAGTAAGTACAGGGGTGATGTACTCCCTTGGATTTAAGTAATCCCTTGCTGTCCAATCAAGAGGCCTAATAAAAATGAACTTGCAGAGTGTTAGAACAGTATTAACAGACTTTTATGGAGTGGCAATAAGCAGGTGAATGGCAGGTTTCCCTGCTATCTGCTGTGCTAGCAAGCCATGATAACCAGAGTATCTGGTACTAATACCTAAATAGTTTCAGGTCGCATTTAGCAAATTTGCCCTCCATGGACAGCAAATTAGAGATCTTTATAGTTCACTGAGTTTTCTTTTCAGATGCTCACAAACTTGAGTTGCTTTCTCAAAATAGATCTAAGAACACTCTACGTACTCAGGAGCAGCTTGATCATTCTTCATGGTTCCTCTGATTGGTAGGAGGGGAGCAGTCCTAGATAGTTACCAGTGAATCTCATGTATGTGCATTGAAAGATATTCTTTCTTATGTAATTGTGAGAAACTTAACATGTTACTTTATTTTTTCCAGGGGGAACACGGCGATTTAGTGGGGCACAGTGGCACCTACAGAAAATTGTGAATGACTCGGTGGACAGCTCTGATGATGAGTTCTTTGATGCAAGAGGTATGCAAAGTTTTGTGCACTCTGGTTTTGTTATTGACTTGTAAGGCTTAATATAGAACTCCAGCTTTTTATAGAGTTTGGGTGGACATTTGTAAATTTTCTATTGCTATCTGTACCCTCATTACATCCTTATGTCCTGCCCCAGTGACAGTCCTCTTTGTAAAAGGGAATGGGTAGAAATGTCTGCAGTGGAAACAAATACAGCAATTAAAAATTTGCAGAAGTTATAACTAGAGATTAGCGAATCGAACTTGGCGAAGTGGAATTCGTTTCGAATATTAGGAAAAATTCGATTCGCATCGAATCCGAATTTTAGCAAACTTCGGATGCACGAATCAAATTTTCCCCGATCAGCCGGCAAAAGTGTCACTGCAGAGAGCTCCGCTATTTCTGACAGTTCTCTGACAGTTTATTTACAGCGGTTGAAACATTGTATCTATTCGTTTCCATTTAGGATACAGATGTTTTTATTCGGAAATAAATAGATACAATGTTTCAACCGCTGTAAATGAACTGTCAGAACTGTCAGAGAACTGTCAGAAATAGCGGAGCTCTCTGCAGATACACTTTTTTGCTGTACTGGAATTCTTCTTCTTTTCATTCTTCTTCTTTTCATTCTTCTTTTTCATTCTTCTTCTTCTTCTTTTCATTCTTCTTTTCATTCTTCTTCTTCTTCTTTTCATTCTTCTTTTTCTTCTTTTCTTCTTCTTCTTCTTTTCTTCTTCTTCTTCTTCTTTTCTTCTTCTTCTTTTTCATTCTTTTTCTTCTTCTTCTTCTTTCATTCTTCTTTTTCATTCTTCTTTTTTCTTCTTTTCATTCTTCTTCTTCTTCTTCTTTCTTCTTCTTTTTCTTCTTTTCATTCTTCTTTTTCTTCTTTTCATCTTTTCATTCTTCTTCTTTTCTCTTCTTTTCATTCTTCTTTTCTTCTTCTTCTTCTTCTTCTTTTCATTCTTCTTTTCCTTCTTCTTCTTCTTCTTCTTTCTTCTTTTCATTCTTCTTTTCATTCTTCTTCTTCTTCTTTTCATTCTTCTTTTCATTCTTCTTCTTCATTTCTTTTCATTCTTCTTTTCATTCTTCTCATTCTTCTTTTCATTCTTCTTTTCTTCATTATTCTCTTCTTCTTCTTCTTCTTCTTCTTCTTCTTCTTCTTCTTCTTCTCCTTCTTCTCTTCTTCTTCTTCTTCTTCTTCTTCTTCTTCTTTTCATTCTTCTTCTTCTTCTTCTTTTCATTCATTCTTCTTTTTCTTCTTTTCTTCTTCTTTTTCTTCTTCTTCTTCTTCTTTTTCATTCTTCTTCTTCTTCTTCTTTTCATTCTTCTTCTTCTTCTTCTTTTCATTCTTCTTCTTCTTCTTCTTCTTCTTCTTCTTCTTTTTCATTCTTCTTCTTCTTCTTCTTCTTTTCATTCTTATTCTTCTTCTTCTTCTTTTCATTCTGCTTCTTCTTCTTTTCATTCTTCTTTTCATTCTTCTTCTTCTTTCTTCTTCTTCGTCGTGCCCCGTGACTGCCCAAATGAGTGAAGTGTGCGGTGATTCTAAGATCGACGGCACTCATCTGCATGTCATACTGACTGACAGTATTATTTCTCTTCCCCAGCAGACTCCAAGGGCATTTAAATTAAAGGTACAGTGTTCTGCACTAATATAAAGGCTCTCTGAAGCCTAGAAACCCTTTAAATAAGTTAAATTCGCGGCGAATAAATTTGCATCGAATCAAATTTCTCCCGCAAATTCGGCGAATCAGCCGAATCGAATTTTTGAATAATTCGCTCATCTCTAGTTATAACCCTTCCCTTGCTAATGAAAGTGTGTTATTGCAATTTATGTCCCAACTGGAGAATCTGCTCTGCCTTTTCCATGTGTTGTGACCTTATTTAAAGGACAAGGAGATCTTCTAACAGGGATACAGAAGGTAATAAAAACCTGAGAGGTTGTATCTCTGCTAACATAGGTTTTAGTAGGCAGTAAGTTATTCTTTGGTGAGCATATAATGAAAAGCATGTCAGCCAATAGTAAGTAGCTTTAAATATGCTTGGGATTAACATAAATCCATGTTAAAATTTATATATATATATATATATATATATATATATATATATATATATATAGTCAAACTCGATGGACCACTTGGTCTTTTTCTGCCATCACTCTTCTATGTTTCTATGTGTTTGTTCGTCTGTACTGAAAAATAATGAGTTTATGCGGCCCCAGTCTGATAGGTTCTGTACTTTGTAACCCAGCATTCATTTATCTGCTAGAGCTCAGTGCTTCATGTTGCCTGGAGTAAGTGTCATCTAGACAAAAAGCTGAGACAGCCAAAGTGTTCCACTTAGATGTGTTATTTAAT